CATCTGAAAATATATCTCCACTGCTTTGGGAAGTGGGGTGTATGTGCGTTGAAGGGGAGCGTTCACAGAGACATCTTCCACTAGCTCAGCAACAAATCCAGGCATACAGATTTGTGCCCACAGCACCTCTATCATGTCAGATGTGTTCACTTTATCTTGTTAAGGTCTCCTTTTTCTTTGTAGTAAAGACTTTTTAAAAAAGATTTATTTGTGCATACAGAACTGGGGTACAGGCCAGAGGCTCAGGGGCGGAGAGAGGCTTCACCAGAGACAGAGTGGGGAGCAGAACAGGCAGATCAACCAAGGACACTGCTGAGGGGAGCAGCTGGCAGGTCAAGAGAGGTCTGCTGCGCCATGTGGTCACCTCCGGGGCAAGTGGAGTTTGAACTCATGCGGAAGTGGCTTTAGCTTCTCAGTGCAGTGCTTTAACCCACTGCACCACCAGGGAGGGCCAAGACTTTTATTTTTTGTGGGTTTTTTTTTTTGCTTCAATTTTGTTAAGATAGAATTGATAGAAAATATTGTATATGTATAAGGTATAGAAGATGATGATTTGATACATGTATATATTGCAAAATGATTACTACAGTAAGGTTGGTTGACACATCACCTTGAATAGTTACCTTTTTTTAAATAGTTAAAAGTTTTTTTAAAAGAAATTCTCTTAAATTCTTTAACAGGTAACTAGTGCTAATATAAGAAATCACCTCTGATCTTAGTGACTTAAAATGACAGCTTGTGTCTAGCTTGTGATTTTATTAGTTGGCTATTTGGGCTGGATTCTGGAGGGTTCTCTGTGTCGGTAGTTGGCTCTGTGTCGGTACTTGGCTGGATCTTTCATGTGTCTAGAACCTTGACTGAGAGAACTGGGTTACCTTGGGCCATGTCTCATCCTCCAGCAGGCTAGCTCAGCCTATTTACATGTCAAAGCAATGTTCCAATAGAAAGAGGTGGCACAGCGGTTGGCTGCACTGAGAAGCTAAGCTAAGCCCAGTCCTCCTCAGTGTGAGTTCAATCTCCACCCTGGTGGTAATCCACATAGTGCAGCAAACCTCTCTTAACCCACCTGCTGTTCTCCTCAGCAGTGTATTTTGTTGATCTGCTCCCTGATCTGTCTCTGGTGAATCCTCTCACCACCCCTGCACCTCTGATCTGTACCCCATTTTTGTATGCATAAATAAGTAAAATAAAGAAAGAGGGGAAGGATACAAGGCCTCTTGAGACTCAGGTTCTGGAAAGGCACAGCAGGTAGCCCCTGCATGGCAGTCACCTCCCTTCAAAATCTGCCTTAACCTATCAAAGGTCACAACAGGGTAGGGGCAACACTTCTGACTCTCTGAGCCCCCTCCATATTTCTCTTCCCAGGATCCACTGGAAACAGAAGAGTGGACCTTGGGGCTGCCTATTCTACTCTGCCTGTCTACCTTCTCTGAAGACAGGCAGTAAACTCTGATCTAGTGGCAAAGCCTGCCTCTTGAGATGTTATAAAGGAATTTGGAAAATCACTTCTCTCTAGACATGCCTGACATTCTTTCCAATGTTTTGCTAAAGAGGCGAGGAAAGTCAGCTTTGAGACTTGAGCTCATCAGTGCCCTCTCATCATCAGTGCCCTCCTGTGCTCTCACTCTCTCAAACTCTACAGGTTGTCCCAGTATGACAACCACAAACTACAAATAGTGAATAAGCCCTTGAAGTGAAGCTGGTACCATGAAGACAGTGAATGTTATCTGATTTTACTTAAAATTTAAGTACTAATGCTCAATTCCATTATTAGGAAACTTTTAAGCATACTTGGAGCCATGTGGGTATGTGAATCTATTTTTTCAGATATAAAATTTACAAAACCTAAATACAGATCAGTGTTCTTGAGGAGAATGTCCTAGCCAAATGAATGAAATGTGAACACACGCCTGATTCCAGCTTATTAACTGAATGTAAAATACTTGGTGGATGATTTCTTTACAGAATTTTCATATTAAAATAATATTTTAGTTTAAGTAAAATATTATTAAAATTAAAATGTTATTAAAATTAGTTTCACTGCTTCGTTCGTATTGTTTTTAATGTGGCCAGAATGTTTCACACCGCTCCTGAATCTTGCATTGTATTTCCTGAACCTTGCATTGTATTTCTGCTTCTCTGGGATGAGATACCCCTCACGTGGTGCGGCCTTCCCTACACCACACACATGACAAAAGATGGCTGTCATGTTTCATATTTGCAAAATATCATCCCCATGGCTTATGTGTGGAGAAATTCATGAAAAGACAGATTTTTTTGGGAGGGGGGATTGAACCAATCTATCAATTTATTCACCAAGATGGAGAATATAAATAGAGAGGAATGGATTTTGTTTTAAATAGGGCCTAGGATCAGGGTGCCTGGCAGCCCAGTTTGGACAATATGAAATGCCCCAAGCCCCAGTTAATTGTCACTGAATGGTCACCCAACCCAAACTGGGTTAATGAGTTGGTCTCCTGGGAGACTGGGATAGAGACAAGGATTCTAGCTCTTCCTGGCTGCTTCTTCAAGAGGGGATCTCCAAGGCCAAATGATGAAGGTGACAGTCGCCTTTTGCCATGTGTCTGTGGTGTAGGCAGTCGCAGTCAAGATGAAAAAGAGGATGTCCTTTCTGTTCCCCAGCAAAGACTTCCTGGGTTCCTCAGAGGGCTGAATCTGCTTCTTACTGAGCTCTCCCTAAGATTCTGATCCTGAGCTTGTAGAGAAACTCCAGCCAGGTCCTCATAATACAGGCAGGGGGGTGTCATACCTATAAAAGAAGACTCTTAATTAATACAGAGTAGTGTTTCCAATGGGGGTGGTGGTGGGGGGTGCAGGGAAGGGAATTAATGGGAGACCTTTGTGTGTGTAACTGAAGGGGAAAGAACAGAAGTTTGTTTTTTTTTTTTTTCCTGTAGAAAAAGCTGATCAGTGGCCTCCTTGTTCCAGAGTAGCTGACACAGTTTTCAGCACCACCCTACAGCTGCATTTTGGGTTCAAAAGACTTCTGTGGCAGGCCTGGAAAGCAGATCACCATTTATAACATTGTTTCTATTGGAGACACATTCCAAGATCCAAACAATGAATTTAGTAAAGAATGTTGGCTTCCAGGACGGATGAGCTGAACCAGGCTGTACCCCAGGGGTTGGCTACCCGTTAACCATTCGACCCCCTTCCCTTTTGGCTTGGGACCACTCTAAGAGTTAGGTATGCATGTGGGGGTAATTGTGGAGAGAGGGAAGGAACAGATGAGGGGACCGTAGCTGGAGAGGTCTAGGACATCCCGTGCTCTGAGAGCCCCTGGAGGTCCAGGGGCGGGTAAGAGGGGGAAGTGAGAGGTGGACAAAGAAACTTGGCCTCCTTCGCATTGCTGTCACGTCTGCCAGCCCGCAAGTCAAAGGGGCCTTGCTCGGCCCCTGCTCAGCTCAAACCCTTTTTGGAATTAGCTGGGGTGCCCGAGAAGAAGGAAAGAATCCCACCCCCTGTGCCTGGAGAAGTCGGGGCGCTAAGGCTGGCTCCGCGGGGCAGCGAGCCTGCTCTCTGGGAGTGGCTGTCACAGAGCGAGCAGCTCTCTCTCTTTTGAAGAGCGGAGCGGGTAATGGGGTGAGGGGAGACCACTCATCTTCCCCATCCCTTTCTTCTCCCCCCTTCTTCCACCCCCTCCCCGCCCCCATCCCGGAAGAGGTGCTGGCAGTCGGAGCCCCGACCGGCGGGCGGGGAAGGAGGGGGACGCGCAGCCACAGCATTGTCTAGGAGGGAGGGGAGAAGCTCCGCCTCCGGGGGGGACGGAGGGCGGGAGAGGAGGGGAGGAAGAAAGGCGAGGGAAGACGAGTGGGGGAGAGATGGAGAGCTAGAGAAAGACCCGTAGAGAGGACGCTCTACCCGGTGCTGGGGGTGCGCCGCTAAGCCGGAGGGACGGGAGAGAGGGCGTGGAGCGGCGGAGGGGGCGCGAGGAGGGCGGGGCGCCCGACCCCCAATCGCTCGGCGGCCGCCTGCCCAGCCCCGCTGGATTTGAGTTCTGCTGGCTGAACGCGGACCCAGGCGCGGGTTGGAGCAGCATCCCGCCGGCGGCACCCGGTCACTTTCCAAAGCCACGGTCCCCGCTGCGCGCTCGCGATGCAGCCGGCTCCCGACGCAGGCAAGGGTCCGGGGTCGGGGCGCGGGGCGCGGGGTGCGGGGTGCGGGGCGCCTGGCTCGAGGTGCTGGTCCCCGAGCTGTCCCCTCTACACTGTCCCGCCTCGGGAAAAGTTTTCCCCTGCCCTATGCACTTCAGCCTCTCGGTCCTCCCTTTCCCCCGGCGCAGGGGTTTCCCGGGTGTGCGGGCGCCAAGCGGGCGGTGTCGGCGCGGGGCCCCAGCCCACCAGTCTTGGGGCCGGAGAAAGTTGTAGTTCCACGCGCGTGTCCCCACCCAGCTGGGGCGGAGGGTGACCTCTCTGCGCCAGGGCGGTGGCAGAAAGGCGTCTCCACCCCATCCCCTCTTCCTCGGGACTCCCTGGAGGGTGGGACGGGAGGCAGGTGCATGACCAGCCCTGGAAGTGCCGGGTCCAATCCCGTCGCCCGTTTCCAGCCCGACAGCAGCAGTGCCCCAGAGGGGGGGCTTCGCACGCAGGGTTCTCTGCCTTCAGAAGAACTCAGGGTGCAAGGGGACCCTTGATTCTCCCTTGTCTCCTTGCCCACCTTCGAAGCCAGTGCCTGAGGTTGTAGGAGACCTTGGCTTAAAGTCCTCTCTTGCTTGAAAGACGGGGAGCCTTGGGCAACCCAGCCACTTCTGCATTTGAGAGCCTACTTTGTTTCTCAGCTCTTAAGCCGATAGAGACGTGGGAACAGCCGGTGTGAGGGGGTTCCGTGTGTGTGTGTGTGTGTGTGTGTGTGTGTAGGGTGTGGGGGGGTTGGGTGGAACCTTGGGGTGCTCTGTGGGTCCTGGTTGTTCACAGTACCTCTGCGCCTCAGTGACTGAAGGAGGTGAGCTGGAGGTTTCTCAGCACTGCGATGCCCTTTATTCCCAGGTGTCTGGAGTCTGGGTCCCTAGGACTGTGCTTTCCCAGAGGACAGAGGCCATTTATAGGAAGAGACCAGGTTCCCAGTAAGTACCCAACGTGAGATGAATGAAGGCGTGAGTCAATGAGCTGGCAAGTAACTTGTCCTGGAGTGGGTCTGGGTTGCTGCCACCGATCTTGCTACAATAGGAGGAAAGAATTAGAAACAATGATGCTTTGAAACAGCTGCAAACCGAGCCAGGACCCTTCTTTCCAGAACATCTGGAGGATGAATCTGGGCTTGGATTAATTTATCTATTCACATTTATTCAATGGGAACTTTTTCTGCAGGTGGACTGAAGAAATAAAGAAATTTCTTGTGGCTAAGCTATAGTGAATTGTTTGAGGAGTCTCTAAATGTAGGGCCCCAGAGACTACGTGTGGGTAGGGACCCTTGTGGGGTTAGAAACCCTGGAAGGAGGCCCTGAATGTGGGCAGCAGCTGTGCTTTTTCCTCTAGACAGATTATCCTGATGGCTGGAACCCGCCCAGTTCAGTGGTCGAGGACTAGAAAAGGGGTTCAAATGGTGCTTGAGCCGGGGCAGTTTGGGAAAGCAGGCCTAGCACTTGGAGGCCTGGGGTCTGCCCAGGCTCTGGGGAGCAGGGGCAGGTGTACCTCGAGACCCTGTGTGCTGGGGAATCTAGAAGGTGACTCCTGTTCATTATGCAGAAGATGGCAGGGCAGAAGTGGCTCTCGAGGCGGCAGAGTAACCATTGGTGAGCGGCCCACAGAAATCCCCTGCTCCCTGCCTTCATTTTTATGCGGTTGAACCTGTTTCAAATAATGTGGGGTACCTTGGGGGAGCCTGACTGAGAGAAGTCCGGGGCATCTGCCGCCCCCGGTTGTGCGCTCTTCAAGAAGATGGGGCATGTGCCCTCTGTGCCCAATAAGTAGGTCAGAGCATGTGCAGCAGCGGCACCTGCTGTGTCTGCAGCGAGCACACCACACCGCCTTCTGAAGGTGATCTGACTGCCTGGGCTCTGGAATCCGCCCCCTTGTATGGCTGCATGTCTTCTATTTGGGGATTCGCACTCCCTCTCCAGTTTGTGTTATTTTAGAAATTCTTCAGAGGTGGTGGGTGACACTGCACCTTCTGTGCAATCTCTCAGTGCCCCACGCTGGGATGTGCTGGTCACCGAGACCTGTCAGAACACTGGGTTCACTTTGATTTCTTGGGCTGGTTCTTGATGCCCCACAGCCAAGTTTCATGTCTGCTTTCTACACGTGAGCTGCTTAGGAATGACCCAGAGTTGGCTGGAGAGGTGCCCGGGATCGCACATCTTGGCATCTCTGCTGGAGAGCCAAGGGCTGGACTGAGAGCTTGCCCGAAAGGGGTCCTGTCACCAAAGCACAAAAAAACCTTGGCCTGAAAGCCACGCACCTTGTCTGTAGGATATAGAGGCAGGACGTGTCCTCATTGGAAGGCGGAGTATAGAGGCAGGACCAGATTGCCAGAGAATCCCTCGGAGAGGTTGAAAGAGACCGGGAAATGTACTGGGCACTACAGAGAACAGTCCTGGGACTTACCTGCCTCTCCTCATTTCCCCCGGAAAGAGACCCTGGGCAGGTCTCAGCACTGTGCAAGGGATGGAACAACATATTCAGGCTGGATTTTCAAGCAATAGTTGCCTAGAGCTGCTCAAGCTGGGGTTATAAATCTATGACAGCGGTCCCCTCCTGCCACACCCCAGCTCTCCTTCCCTCTCCACACTGTGATCCAGTTATTTACCCCACTGACACACTGCCCTGTTTAAACACCTCTCTGCCTGAATTTTAAATAAGCCCTTAAGGTGGGTAAGGTCCCACAGACCCATGATTACTGGTTTATTTACTTGGCCTGTTTGTGGGTTCTCATGGAGGACATGGCTGTGGGAGGGTGGGGGAAGGGGGGACAGGAGGCACAGGGAAAACAGGCACTATAAACAGGGGCAGCTTCCAGACTCCACTGGCTGGGCAGCCAGAGGGTCACTTTTAATCGTCTCTGGGAGAGCAGACCCAAGTCTGTAATCACGGTTGAGGTCGCTGCTGGGGATGGCAGCTTGGGGCTGCAGGATTTCTGCCCCAGGCAGCTGTGACTGAACCAGGTTGAAGCATGGGGAAGGGCGTTTGGCTTGTTCCCATGGGGCAAGCAAAGTGACTTTGTGCTTTTCTTATTCCTTTGTGGTGTTTGTTCATTTCTGTAGTGCCAGTGTTCTCGCCGTCGCTGACTTCAAGCTACCAACAGCATTCTTGAACAATGAGTTGGGAAGAGATGCGTTGTCAGCCCTTTTAAGCTGATAGGAGCCAGTTCCAGCACACAGCTGGCCACAACTGAGCTGGGATGTGGCCTCAGTGGTTTTATTTTCCAATTCTGTCCACAGGGATGAGGAGGATAAAAATTGTACCACATGCTCAAAACTTGGGATATGTTCAAGCCCTGCTAGCAACATTTGGATGAGTCATGGTGTGTGAGACACTTCTGGGGTTCATTTAAAGATTTAGACTACCATCATTATCCATTTCCAGAACTTTTCCATCATTGAGATGTTTGGACTTTGAGTCTTTATGGACCTCAGTTTCCTGTTTCAAGCTATGGGCTGGATGATTCCATGGGTCCCTTTGAAACCCTGGTCTCTTTGAAAGAGTACTGCATTCTCCTGTCCTCACAAAAGCTTTGCTTATTTATTTATGCAAACAGAAGTGGGGTACAGGCCAGAGGTGCAGAGGATTCACCAGAGAGAGAGAGGGGAGCAGAACAGGCAGATCGACGAAGTACACTGCTGAGGGGAGAAGTGGGCAAGACAGGAGAGGTCTGCCACATCATGTGGGTCACCTCCCTGGCTGGGGATCAAACTTGCACTGAAGTAGCTGAGGCTAGCTTGCAGTGCTGCGCTTTAACCTCTGTGCCACCAGGGAGGGCTGCAAAGCTTTTAATAAAAGAAAACCTTCATGTGTCCACACCTGCTTGCCCGCCATGGGGGACCCGGGGCTGAGCCCGCCAAAACGTTTGCTAGCATCTTTCCTGCTGACAGCAGGGAATCAGTGGACATTTTACCCAGTAATTTCTGCCTCTGTGTATACAAGTGTCCCTTGATCACACAAGTATGATATGTCCCAAGAGGAGCCCTGAGGTAGGTAGGGAGGAACTGTTTCTTTTGGAAAAAAGTGATCCTTACTGTCCTGAATCACTGTGCCATGTCTCAGATACTCAAGAATAGTCCAAGAAAAGCCCACAAGAAAAAGACTTTTATATGACCGAATTCAACATCTGTGGGTTTGACTCATAATGCTCTGTTGACAGTCCTATTCAGGATTCCCTGGCCCAGCAATTCCACCCATAGGAATTCTTGTGCTAAGGATATAATGGCAGAAGTGCAGAATCGTATGCACAAGGAGGTATCCCTCACAGCATCATTTAGACCCAATGCCCAACAAACAAATGTATTAACTATGATATATCTGTGCATTGGAATACCATGTGGCTACAAAAGATACAGATGTGTACCTACTGACATGGGAAAACTTGATATATTTCCAAAATTGGGTTATCATACAGTGCTATTTTTGTAAAATATGCACCTTACTCATTTATATTTACTTCTGGAAGGCTGAATGGTAAAATGTTAATTGATAGTGATTGTTTGCTGGGCAGTAGAATTTTGGGAGATTAAGATCTTAATCTTTTTTATATTAAGTTTTTTTTTATTATGGCAAAATAAGCCACATGAAGCTACCCTTTTAACCATGTTTAAGTATACATTTAAGTGGCTATCTTAGTCTGCTCAGGCTGCTATAACAAAATACTATAGGCGAGTGACTTATAAACAACAGATATTTATTTCGCGTAGTTCTGGAAGATGGCAGCCTAAGAGCAGGGTGTCCGTGTGGCCATGTGAAGGCCCTCTTTGGGGTCACACACTGGGTACTGCATTCTTATTGAATAGAAGGAAAGGACTAGAGAGCTTCTGGGGTTTCTTAAAAGGGCACTAATCTCATTCATGAGGGGCTCACCCTCATGACCTAACCACCCCACCAAACACCCCTACCTCCTGATATCATCCTATGGGACCTACAATTTGGGAAAAGTGAGCATTCAGTCTATAGCCATGTTAGTCAGTGCATGTATAGTGCTTCATGACCACTGCCATTACCCATTTCCAGAACATTTCCAGCAACTCCTGCACAGACTCCATTAAATACTAACTCCCCATTCCCTCCTCCTCCTCCTCACCCTGGTGACCTCATTTCTACTTACTATGGCTACTGGCTTGCTTATTCTTGGTACCTCAGAATTGGAACGGTACAATATTTGTTCTTTTTGTGGGTCTTCAACTTTTAGCTTAGCTATATGTTTAAAATGACAAAAAGAAAAGGAAAGAGAAAGCCTTGGGAGTGAGCTGTGGTATGTGGTCTCTGGTGGTTCCATTTCAAGTTGAGCCACAAGGCCCTTCTTGCTCCACTGCCATGTCCAGGGGTGGAGGTCATGGTTTGGCCGCCTCTCAGCCTGGCAGGATGGAGTTGGGCACTCGGGTTGAGAGGGCTGCCCATGGTGTGGTATGCTAGTCTCTGGCAGCTGGACCCCAGGCCGCTGCTGCCGAATCATCCCATTGTAGGTCTTTCTGTATGGGGTGGTGGGTTTGGGGGTGCACTTGGGGCTCACCATGCTTGAACCTAACAGCTGGCCTGCAGTGCGAGAGATTCCAACCCGGCGGGAGTGGGTTGCTGGGACCCATCCCTCCTTGAAGATCGAAGACAAAGGCCTCAACCTTTCTCTATCAGGCATTCTGTGTGTGTGTTCCAGACCCTGGGGCTTGACTCGACTTTTGAAATGCCATCATGGTGACCAAGGGCAATGGTGGCTGAGAGCTTTACCCACAGACCAGGTCAGCCTGGCTGTGTGCAGGGAGGACTTCAGCTGATGGGGCTGCGTGCTCCAGGGGCATGGCAGCTCAGATGATCACTGCCCTCAACTGAAGCTCTGATGGGACCTGACAGTTCATGCAGTGCTGTTTGGGGCAAGGATTGCTCTACTGCATAGGTGACACGTGCACTGAATGGGTGTGGAGGG